TCCAACAAAGGCGCGTACTTGCCTGAGGTTGGACGGCACCGGCCACTCTGTGATGCCAGCTAGTTTGACAGGGTCCATTGCAATTTCTCCTGGACGGATGATCATGCCGAGGAATTCGACTTCGGTGACGTCGAAGGCACATTTCTCCGGTTTGAGGTAGAGGTCATGTTGTCGAAGTCGTTTGATAACACGTTGTGTTCGTTCTTCGTGTTCTGCTTTGTCCTGGGAAAAGATCAGGATGTCGTCCATGTAAATGCAAAGCCAGCCTTCTTGAAGCATGTCTGCGAATATTGTGTTCATCATCCGCTGGAACGTAGCGGGAGAATTACACAGCCCAAAGAACATCACCGTTGGTTCATACAGCTGCGGCGGTTTGCCATCAGTTCCGGGTACGATGAACGCTGCCTTCCATTCGTCCCCTTTCTTGATTCGGACGTTGTTGTATCTGGCATGGAGGTCCATCTTCGTGAACACCTTGGCATGCTTCAACTTGTCCAGGAGGTCTGATATAAGCGGAAGCGGGTATCGATCCTTGACCGTGTTCTCGTTGAGCAGCCGGTAGTCTTGGCAGGGGTGTAGTGAACCGTCCTTTTTACCAACAAAGAAGAATGGACTCGCCAACGGGGATTTTGAAGGGCAAATGTACCCTTTACTCAGGTTCTCCTCGAGGAACTTGTCGAGTTCCTTTCGTTGCTGCGGGTTGAGCGGATAGACCTGTTGCTTCATGTCCGCGAAGCCCTCCTTGAGGTTGATTTCATGGTCATATTCGGTGTGGTCTGGAAGTCGCGCAGCCGTGGCTTTGTCGAAGACGGGGAGGAGATCGTGTAGGTAGGATGGTACCATCTGTGGTAGCGTTCTTTCTGTCTTGCCTTGGGCGTTCGAGGCTGCAAGTTCGGTGGAAGTGGTGACGCACCTAATGTCGTGGTGGACCTTCCAGATCATGCCGTTGTGAAGTCGTTTGTAGCCAGATGAGGGTTCAGGAAGTCGCTCCTTGAGCAGAACATCCCTCACTGCCAGGGGTTCCTGTTTCTCGTACTTGGTGATCATCGGTGTTCCAGATAAGTAGGAAATGATGAACTCATCATCGTCGATGTCCTCCACTTGTTCCTCGATGGACGCAATACCCGTTGACCCAAACCCATCCTCCCCGTGTTCTGTTTCGTCAATGCAGTCGGTTAGCGTTACTGGTGGAGTGCTTATCCTTTCAAGGATGAGCTGGGCAACTCGGTCGCCGGCTTTGACGGTGAATGGGAGGTCGGAGTTATTGACCAGCAGGACTGAGACTTTGCCTCGGTAATCGGAGTCGATTACTCCTGCAGCGACATCAATTTCTTTTAGCGCTAGACCAGACCGAGGTGCGATTCTTCCATAGTGTCCCTTGGGAATAGTCATGATAAGGTCAGTGCCAACCAGGCCTCGTCGTCGGGCGGGGATGATGAGGTGATGCGCAGCAGAGATATTGTATCCTGCTGCGCCACTAGTCTTCCGTTCAGGAAGGGTTGCATGCTCTGAGGTGGGGATGACGATGAATTCGTCCTCCGTTGGTTCTGGGAGTGGGGTAGTTACGGCCTTCTTTAGTTCTAGCCGAGCCACTCGCCTCTGGTACAGGTCCATCTTCCAGGCCCTGGTCTCGTCTTTCGTCCACCGGTGGTTCAGCTCCACTCGTCCGGTCTTCCAGTCTATCTTGGGGTTTTTGAGTTTGAGCCAAGTGTGGCCGAAGATGATGTCTTCCTTGCCGATGCTGGCGATGTAGGCTTTGACGAATCGGGGTTCTCCGCTTATCTTGTAGGATAGGAGAGCTCTTCGCGTAATGAGTGCTTCTTTGTTCGGGGTTCCATCCACGTTGAAGACGGGGATGGGTCGGGGAAGGGGTTCTGTCCGAAGTCGATGTTCTCAGACGAATCTCGGGCTGATGAAGATTCCTGTTGCGCCGCTATCGATGAAAGCTCGCGCCTCGACATCTTTTCGTCCCACAGTAATCGGAATGTGCAGAGCACGTTCATTTCGGACTACTAGAATTACACGGGACAGTGAAACGGATACGGGCAGTGGTTGCGTCGGCTCACCCTGCCCCTTCAAAAATCCTCCATCGTAAGTTCTTCGTACAGCTCCCGCTTTTCGTCAGCGGAGAGTGCCTTGATTCTGGCACGGAAGTCGTCCTTCCCAGATCCTCCCTGGTTCGGCCTCCCACCCCCTTGTCGTGCGGCCGCTTTCTTGCGGCAATCCTTGGCGCTGTGGCCCTTGATGTGACAGTAGAAGCACAGGTTCCCGTCCCTGTGGAGCTTCTGGTCGGCTTCATTGAGAACTGCTCCTAGTTCCCACTTCCTTCCTCCCGACGTGGGGGCAAAGGTTGCCACGACTGCAGCGGCGTCGATATCCATTGGCTCGCCGTAGTCCCTGGTGTCTGTGACGGTGAGGGCCCCTTGTTCGGCGGCGTCGGCGTTTCGGACTTCGTCGTACCAGGCTTTCATGGTGTTGGGTCGGTCTCTAGCGACCCTGGTTGCGAGAGAGACGTAGAGCTCCTTCGGAAGTCCCTTGACGAAGTTGGCATGGAGAGTGTGGTAGTCGTTCTCGGTGCGGTTGACGCCATTGACTTCGGCATCCTTGAGCTGGGCTTTCGATGCTAGCTGCTCGAAGCGGGTGGCGTAGTTTCCAAGGGAGAGCGCCGTCTTCTTGTTCTTCTGTCGTTCGGGCAGCTTCATCAGGATTTGGTGCGCCTTGATTCGCGTTCCGTGCTCAGGAAACGCTTCCTCAAGGGCGGTGGCGAAGGCTGCCCAATCAGGATAGACCTGGACTCCCCCTGCCGACTTCTCGTAGTATGCGTCTGCCCACGTCTTCCCTAGGTCCTTCCTCATCAATGCTACCGTGAAGGCGATCTTTGCTTCATCGCTAAGTCTGGTGTTGTTGGTGGCGACGAAGTAGGAAAGGACGCATTGAAGGAAGCGTCTAAGATCCTCTGCCTTTCCACTGAAGGGTTCCGGAGCGGGGATGTCGAGGCGGAGGGGTCGATTGGCGGTTGATTGTTGAAGTCGGTATGTATCGAGAGCAGCCGCGATGCGCTGATCGATGTCTGCTTGAGTGAACGTCGACATTGGAGGTTCAACTGGTGTGTTGGTTGGTGCGAATGAAACAGGTGGTGGTTCGGTGTCTGGAGCCTCGATGGGAACGTACTGAACGTCCGGGAGTTCGAACGATTGTTCGTTAACAGGTGACTGTAGCTTCTCTGTTATTTGTGCTGGCTCAACGTTGATCCGTAGGGTGGCGAATACGTCTTCTGGGTGAGCGGGAGGGTGTCTCTGGTAATAACTGACAAGCTGTTGATGGGCGACGATCTGTGGGTTGGAACCTTCTGCGCGAACCCAGGAGCCGTCTCGAGGATA